GGTCATCGGATTTTCAGATGAAACATCACCTGGCCCGTCGGACTGTAAAGCTGAGGGAGTGATCCGCTTTTGATGCTGGTATAGTTCTAGACCGGAATACCCGGCGCCAAAGTATGGCCGAAGGCTCTCCCACGTACCGAGAATGCTGAAGTCTTCAGAAGAGCCAGTGCTGATGCACGTAATGTGCCTTTACGTTTTGTGCTGTTTGACTACATCACATGTTTGGTGGCCTGTTTGGTGGGGTGAGAGTGAGTTGCTATGAGTGCTAATGAACTCGCTTCTTACGACCGACTAATCGAGCACGTGTTTGTGGCCGAAAACTACACGGAATAATCACTGAGTGGCATGCAGTCTGACCTGGAAGCGACCAGTCCCATGCAGTTCCCACAATAGAATCATGTCAGCAAATATTGATCCGCGGATCCTTATGGGTAAATTGCACGGTACCCGTGTAGAGCACAGGGAGAAAACAAAACAGGTCATTCTGCCTTGGGAACAATAGATCTATCAACAATCGGACGGAATATTGACGAGCGATTACTATCTCCTTGAAATATTGTGGTTGAAAATCGGAACTAGCTTTAGTCGGTTAGCTTTGATCTCGCATGAACAGATGAATGGGCTGACGGAACGCCAAAACGAAAACGAGCTACATTCGGCCTTCGGGAACCACAGGAAAAGAAGAGTGGAGATTTGTGAATGGTAATTTCAGTATATTGTAGTGAAGATATGGACAAAATAAAAAATGAAAATACAGGGCGAACGGGGATGCCGGGTGACGATGCACACAGCAGATACCTGAACCGAGCAGATGTTCAGTCACGGAAGCCACTCAGTATGTGAGTGAATTGATCAGGAAAGCACGATTTTTGCCATTCATTATCCTCCCGAAAGTAGGGGATCACATCGTACTGACGGGTTTTTACAACAAATATGGAATCCACTAAGAATTGTTCACATGATGCAACAATACAAGATATTTGATAAACAGCTGTCATTGTACTAGAATCCCTCAACGGCTCTTCATGCTCAATTAGAATGGTAATATTTTTACTCGAATTTAGCCAGGTGATAAAAAAAACTCGTTCCTGATAATCAGGAAGATGAGGGCCAACAACTACTATGCGTTGCGCTACCGATGATCAAGAGTAAAAATATGCAGTGCGAGGGACGAAACAGAAACTCACTTCGTATGCTCACAAGAGTAGTTCGAAACATATCGATGGGACTAGGATTTCGCCGATGCAAAGAACGCATTACGGTTCTCCAAACAGGAGACATTTTGTGGTGTCACCGGAGGGTGTGTTTGCTGTGCTCACATAAGTTTTGCCAAGGGTTATTAACCGGGGAACAACTCCCTTTGGTGCATGGCATTTCCAGGGTGACTGAGGGCGCGAAAGTAACACTAATGACAATGTCCCCTCGCACGGTGATGAAAACTTTGCAAGACAACTGCCACCATCGCTGAACAGATCAAGTGGCTGCTAACAAACCTCCCGAGCTACTGATGGTTAGATATATTATCGTCACTATCATTTTGTATTCTAAGAAAGCTTCAATAGAAAATTGGTGATAGAGAAACCAGTTGCTACCCCACAGGACTACGCATCTGCTACCACCCTGCGTTCAGTAGGCACTACATTGGGAGGCATATTATTCGTCAAAAATGCATATAGTGCGTTCACCGTCGGGATGCATTTGAATTTGGCTGCGTATCCATTTAGGGATGATATCATGCATTTCACTAGGTCATCCCAACCCGTGGCACCACGTGACTTCTAACTGTGCCTATTCAGTTAAGTTTATATATGAGCAAAGCATTTAACGGGTAAAATGCCAGGCCAAATGTATCTTGGACAGCGTGAAAACTGTTACAGTGAATTTTATGAACAGAGGCCGGAACGAGATTAAATATCTGATTTCGCTGCCTAGTCCCACTGCAGAATTGATTCGACGAAAATAGCGTTCAGCCGTACCATCCTTTCGGTGTCTAACTGCCATGCCACCAGAAAGAAGCGAGGTCAGGGTTACTGCCATGTTGCTCAATCCTAGACAGGGTAAGTCGACAGGCGGAGGTCGGGTTCGAACCACGGACCTTCCGGTCGGTGAATGTGCGCTCTAACCACTGAGCCATCACAATGAAGCTCTAATATCATCCTAAGACCTGAGTGTTCCAGATTTCATGGTATCTATGACTAATATAACTAATGACCATCGGCTTACTTCAGCAGCAAATCGGACACTTGCATATAGTATCATTTACCACGCCTTCACTGAAGATAATGCAGGGGATATATCCTCTTTAGAACGCATAGGTTAGGTATCAGACTGCCCTATCATCATCACTGCAATAACCGCGTACTTGTCGTATAGCTGCCACAGTTTCATTCACCGATGACTCGGGGGATGGGTGGGTAGTTGCGCATTGGAGATGGGAGCAGATAAATTAGTATGTGAATACAGCACTGCGCTATGAACTACATTTAAGCGGCATAAATAGAAAAAGCGCTGTAACCTGAGTTGGGACAATGGACTAAAGGACAGGCATGGTCTGCTTCGCAACCAGTAATTCAGATGCACATTTAGTCTGGCACGCTTAGTCGAAGGCATTCAATGGAGCAGTTAGGTCAAGTAACCGACCGGATACACATCCAAATCCCGAAAGAAGTGGTGATTCAGTTTCATGCGCATATCGGTCGTGAACGACCTTCGTGCAGTTTTCGGCGAACAGCGTATATCCAATTAGCGGTTCTTTTGGTGTCTAGACTCACATCAGTAAGTGATCCCCGTAATAAGAAAATGAATCTGCCCAGCTTTTGGTTGGTTGATGCTCGAGACGAAGACAGAGAATGAATTCCTCATCCCCAGTGAGGGACACAAGTTGATTAACCCGATAAAACTCATGCGATAAACACCCCGGGAAATGAGGCAGCTGTTGGGTTATTGTTAAAGATCCTAATCGGCGAACACATGTCCGAAGGTTTTACCAGATTACCGAGATGTGACATCTGATTTACCAAGGACGTTAACAGCAGGGTCCGCGGTGCATGCGTCTGTTCAGACCATCCCTGAAAATACGGCCGAAGTAATCAAAATATATTAGGCGAACCCAAATAGCAAGAGATCGCTTTAACCAATCGGCGAGTGCCATGTGCACAATGAGGAAGCAAATAAAAATACAACATATGTTAGCTCAAGATTGTGGCCTCTTTTGTTCTGTAGGTGCTGAAGGACTCGCTTTCTTTCCTGGGTCATCCGCCACTCCTGGGCTACTGGTCACTTGTTGTTCATTCAATTTCGAAATTTCTTGTAAAATTTCTGGTGGCGGTTCCTTAGTAGCTAAATATTCGCCTTTTTGCTTTTTGGAACGTTTTCGACGGAAATCCTTGGACTTGGTGTTTTCTGATACACTCCAGCAGCTCTATTCAAAGATGTCATAATTAAATGGGGATAATAACAGCGTACTTCATCTTTCCAGCTGAACACACTGGGTCGATCGTTTGAAGGCCTACCAATAGCCGCACTATGTTCATCGACCGAAGAAATACGCAGTAGGGTACGATATTGTCGTTCAGCTGGACGTTCATTTGAATCTCTCTTCCCATCCGGCATGATCCACCTAAGGGAGAGCCGACATCGCCCCAATTGTCAAATTGATTCGAGATCATTCCTGTTGTATTGATCCGACATGCAGTTTAAAATGTCACGTGACAAAGGCGTGTTGATCATGCATGACAGAATTGGTCAGTTAATGCACAACCCAGTGAATAGTGTGCTTATAAATACATTGCATATGGACTATCCTTTTGATCATGTGCACACATACAAGGCCCATCTTAGCAATAGTGCAACACGAGAAGCCCTACGGATCGAGGAGTAAGCATTGGATTGAAATGGTCAAATTTAACAAGTGGAAAAGATAAGAACTGGAGAGATGAATACAGAGCTGCGAAACGCCCACAGATCTGTCATGAAGAGTCCACCTGTATTCGTTCTTCCAGAGAAAACTTTCTAGCTCATCGAGCGGAGCAGGTGAATTAAATCAATGAATTCGTTGTGATATTACTGTGGATGTGCCCAATCTCGATAAAAACGACCCCCAGTAACACTGACATCATAATCACCGTCGTCACAATTTAATGTTTAGTTTGTACGCCCACTGGATCCCCACCGTCAAGGGTTACCAGAAAACATCAACAAATTCTACTGACTCATATTCCCATGTACGCTCCCTTCATAAACACGGTGCTTCTACGAAAAAAAAACACTTCAGGCGTTTAGCTGGAACTAGAAGGGTTATACCTTCATTAGCTGCGCCATCGCCCCTCCCCCGATGGTGCATAGTAGAAAAAAGGATTATCCGATTAAAATTTTTTGGTACGACCAGTGGAAAGTGAGGTGCCTCAAAGTGCGGTCATGAAACATCAAATACAACCATAAAAAACAACGGCTAAGTGTCGGGTAATATAGACGTGATACGCTATTCGTAAGGTTGCTGAGCTCTTCTACAATTCACGACCGGTTTCGCCCCTCTTGAGGCTCATCATAAACGAGAGATTCAGCTCGGTTCCATGTGACCTTCTTGTCAAAACTTAATTGGTATAAGTTGAATACCGGGTTATCTTACCCAATGCTATTTTTCGGTTTCAGCCATGGATCTCGCTATGAATCAGTGACACCCACCTATTGGCCAGGTAGGCTAGTACATGCGCATCGACCAAAGCATTGGTCTGTTCGTGGTTGGCTGTCGATTGGAGACTGTGCTCAGTTCCGCATGAAACGAACCTTATGTATGAGGAGATAGTACAGTTTTACTAGGAGTGTCTCTTTAGGTGTTGAGTTAATTGCTATCAGAACCGTCTAAGCAGAATACATCGTTCATATTGTTTGTACCCGCTTGGTGATTGGTTTGCTTTCAACATCCCCATGGTAAAGGACCTCGTTCCGTTATGTTTGTCTGCTATTGTGTTGCAGCGTGCACTGCAATTGATGCGACCAAATACACTCAGCGTGTCTTGCAAAGGCTCATTTCTCTGTGTTACCCTCAAATTTGTAGTCGTGAATCATAGTGGAATCGATAAGCCAGTTCATGGCAGAAAATTCTGTTACAAAAACAGGCAGGAATATTGTGTAAAGAGAAAGACAGTTCGAGGGAATCCGTGAAGGGCGTATCAATCTGAAGTTAAACGAGTTTATACAGTGTTGGTCCTTGTTTGAGCAGGGCGCCAGAATCGTTCAGTCGATCAATCAGCGGATCGACGCTGCCCGCGGACAAGCTTAGACCAGTGACCAGCGTCTGGATCTCAGCGCGAGTGAAAAGACGACTGTTGGAGTTCCGCGCAGCAAGCTGCGACAAAAACGGTGAAGTGCAAACCGTTGTCAGTAGGAAATCCGCAAAATATGAACTGTGACAGAAATTCATTCCTCAATTCACAGTCACCAAATAACGAAGCAACTATAGCGACAAGACGCGAAAGCATATCGGCAACTAGAATCGGTAAAACAGCATTCACTTGAACGAACACTATTCACAGCGTTGCTGAAAGCTGTTCGACAGAGAAAGACCATTTTATCGTTGTTGGAGCTCATCAGAAAGGTCCGTCAAACTTATGTTCTACTTGAATTTATTTCATACAGAACTCGCGAAGTACACTCATTTGAAAACCAAGTTGATTTCTACGGAAGACTCACCTAAATCCCAGCTGAATCTCTCTTTAATGATATTCCTCAACTGAATGTGCTGCACAAAGGCCGCCTGATGTCTCATAAAAGCGATTCAGCTGGATGTTCCGTTAAAACCAAAAATGGTGTGCAAATGAGCGTATTTCACTCGCGAACTTCTTGAAATTTGGGCTCAATTAGAAGATGAGGTTGACAGGGACTGTGCCTACCTGACGAGCTCAGCCAAGAGTGTTGTGAGCAGTGTTCGTTCAGGAAAATATACTTCGATATCACGAATGTCGTGCCAACTGAAACATGAGCCAGCACATGCAGGGGAAGAATACCATAAACGAGAGGTTCAGTTGGGATTCAGTATTCACTTGTATCAGTTCCATCAAAATCTATTTCGCTCTTCGTGTGAAGCTTTTATCGGCCACGTTTCTTCTGCTCTGGATTCCATTTCGCTTCAGATAAACGCGACCCTCCAGTAGCAATCCCAACCACCGTCTTAATGAAACAACACCAATGTTGAACCCCGATGCCCTATTGCTATCGGGTAACAACCAACCATGTACAGAAAGAAAGGAACGATGTATGGAGAGGCTTCGTACCGTTCAGACGCAAATATCTACAGATGTCATTTCCAGTGGTATGGTATGACAAACCGTGCTTAAAATGAAGGGTAAAGACACTTTTGATAAAGGTCAGCAACCACATACATCAGGAGTTCAAGCAAAGCATAAAGTGGATCCGGTAGCCCACGGTCTGGAAAGTGGGCCCAACTAATGGGCACAAGCAATCATCCGGCTCCATGAAATTCCGCATTCGGCATTGAAAACGGCGACGTTCTCACCAAATAGTGACTTAACAGGCACAGTACATTATCCAACCCAGGAAATCTGTGTAGGCAGAAACCCTAATACGTAAGTTCTGATGCAGGGTCACGCAATTGATGGCTGTAACATAAGTATCCTTTTGATGAACGCGCAACGCCCAACAGCAACTTCTACCGTATACAGCTTGTTATCACGAAACAAAAGGACCACCAGTGTAACGCTCTACAGGTGAACCATTGAAAGCGGTGCCACACTAACCTGGAGTCATATGAAAATTATCGGCAAACGAAATTCGGTTTCCGAGATTTGTGCACCAAATAGGCGAGTTACATGACGGTTATGTTTGAGAGAACATCGAGTGCTTCCCAGTCTAGGGAAGCCCGTAAACAATATACTTTAGGGACAATCCGTCAATTTACGTCCAGCAGGTATACTATAACTGAGATCAGCCGCAGAGTTCAAATTCTCCAAAACATGACAAAGATTTACTTCGTAAATGCCAAAAGGGTTCTGAAAATACTAACCTCGAGCGCAGCTAATAAACGCTTCGCTGCCGTCGGACCCGAGTCGGATGTAGCGCGACGAGACACCGGAATGCTTTTGGCAATCTCACTCAATGTCGCATTGGCTGGTGTACCACCCACATGACCAGTTCCCAGACCGGTAGCACGCATCAACTGACAAACGTCCAGTGCATCCTGGTCGTGAAGAAAAAAAGTGATTAAGTACCTTCATAAAGCAGTAAAAACGGTAACAATCTACAGCACTGTAAAAGACTCCTGCCAAGGAACATAAGCCGCTAAGAAAAGTGGTAAAAGCAAGCCCGTATGCAAGCCCAGGCGCGATGCGATGAAGATTCACGGCAAATCAAGAGACGAGACTGACCTCTTTCGTGGCCTCTTCCCGAAGTTCAGCGCGGGCACGGGCTTCAGTGAGACGAACGAGGGATTCTAACTGCCGAACAGTGACGGGAAACGTATCACGCACATGTCGGTTGCGCCTCAGTTCCAAGTAAAAGTCCCTGAGTGTCATTGCAGCAGCTGTCGAAAGACTAAATATAGGAAAAGTGAGAAAGGTCAATTGTGGATACCTAACAGAGTGGCAAACCAACTTTTGTGAGAAAAGGAGTGCAACGGTATGAAACTCGATTAGACCAACTATTTAGAATTCCTCACGTGAGCAAGTAGTGATATAGAGTATGCAGGCTTTAGAGCACCGTAGGTTTATCACTTTGTCTAATGGCCTGGCAAAAGGCACATATTGTTGGCTTTCAGATTCAAAATCTTGGTCACTTGATAAACTTACATCAAGAATTGGATACCGTGATGTACTTGTCAAGTGATCTACTTCCAATTTGGTCAAATCCTACAGATCTTGACTGATTTTTAGTGGAGGTTTCGAGGGCATTCCAAATTCCTATTGAAAAGTTGTCCACAAAACAAGTGAGTTCATTATCCTCTTAAACGTGTCTGAGAATGGGGTGGAAGGGGTGAAATAGGTAAACATAGACAACTCGGGCAGCACAATTACTTACGGATCACTGGAGGCATTGATGTTGTTAAGACCCAGCTACGTATACGAATTATTCGTATGGTTTATCATACATTAAAAGACGCAACTTGGTGTCTTCGGCGAACAGCCTACCGATATGATGCTTATCGTATTGGTCTTGGTATGCGTACCGGCCCTCGAATATCAGTAGTTTGACCGCAATTACATGAGAACATAAGCATGGCCAAGGTTATACCTAAGGTAACGGCGATTAAGCAATAAGTGAATGGCAAACATCGATGATCAGGTACTTGCTCCCGATTGGACTACCACGACTCGGTAATCAAAAAGCTGTCGTCCCTATGCCAAGAAATCTATCTTCTTCCAAAGAGCGGAGGGGGCAGGAATTCCATAAAATTCTACCTCGCCTATGAGCCACATGGAACTGGAAGGTGCACGCGAGACTTGTGAGCGAAAGAGACATTGAAAAGGCAGGCCAAATCCAAGTCCATTCTACACCCACCCTTTTATTCTCTTCATTTTAGGGCTTTAAATAGAACGAAATGAAATTTCTGGAGGTAATACGGTGAACATTACATTCAACTTCACTGCCCCGCGGATGATGATAATAGGCCGTAGGTCATAGTGTTGGTCTCATGCACGCAGTGTAACTATGGTAGGCTAGCAATAGATCAGGCGAGTGCGATTTCGGTCATTGATTATCCTCCCGAAAATGGGGTCGTCTCGTACTAGGGGTTCTTACAAATATGGAATCCACCTCTCTGTGCAAGGTTTACCAGTCAACTGATACGCTAAACGGCTCACCTTACAAGAACTGCTGATGAAACTTCACGCCAGAAGTGGCTCTACATGACTGGACTTTCACGGACGAATAATTCAACTCACTTGTATACAGCCCTAGTTCTTCGCGTACTTTACATGTGAGCTATGGAATAACACACTAAGAATTGTTCACATGATGCAACAATACAGGATACTTGGTAAACAGGGATTCTAACAGCTGTCATTGTACTAGAATCCCTCAACGGCTCTTCATGCTCAATTAGAATGGTAATATTTTTACTCGAATTTAGCCAGGTGATAAAAAAAACTCGTTCCTGATAATCAGGAAGATGAGGGCCAACAACTACTATGCGTTGCGCTACCGATGATCAAGAGTAAAAATATGCAGTGCGAGGGACGAAACAGAAACTCACTTCGTATGCTCACAAGAGTAGTTCGAAACATATCGATGGGACTAGGATTTCGCCGATGCAAAGAACGCATTACGGTTCTCCAAACAGGAGACATTTTGTGGTGTCACCGGTCTCACGAATTTATCAAAAGATAATAATACAAAAAACCCTGGAACACGACTGTAGTCAGTGGGAAGGAGATACCATTTACGGCACAAATTGATCACATTTGAAAAAGTGGCCAACTATGCAACGGAACGGCAAAAGCGAACAAAAATGTTTTAGTGCGATTAAAGTGAAGAAAGCACCGGCCACCATAGAACCCAGGGAATGATTACTGAGCGGTCCCAAGGCTCACCTTGGCATCACATATTTTCGTGCATAAAGGATGTACTTGCGCAGCAAGACCGAAGGGATATAATCAACCCGCTCACCCACACGTATCTCTAGTCGTTGAGCCAAGGGAGCCTGAGGATCTATGTCAACAGTGGATATATGGGGTCTCGGGGTTCGATCGGAACTGGGTTGACTCGCGGGTGTGCAAACGAAACTGCTAGGTTTCCACGCACCCGTGTGTACTGCTGTGACATGTTCGGACAAAAGTCGGTCCGCTGTCTCGTCCGGGCGGTCGAGGAGGACGAAAACCAAATCAAACCTGAGAGCAGTGGGAAAAATAGGGCTTTAGTTTGACAGGAAGAAACGGTGAACAACCTAGTGGCAAAAGGACGACAGTCAGAAAACATGAATTGAAAAGAAAACGGAAGATTGTGTTAAGATGGTTATGAAGACTTGACGGTGTGCTGCGCAAGCCGAGTATCATTAAGCATCCGTGTTTTCCGCGCAACACGCAGTTTCCTAAGTGTTCTGAGGAATAGTGGAATCAGCAAAAGAATTCTCAGAAGACGAAATTTTGTGCAGAACGTGGATTACTGCACTTACGGAACGTTGGACACTTTACCTACGTTTCCGGACAGCCTCCGATACTGTGAAAACGAACCAATATGTATTCACAACTTTTCATCATCATCGACAGCAACACCAGATGCGAACCATCCTGCTTTATCCGGGCCCGTCGTTGTGGATTCTTTAACTTGACCATATAGTCACGCAAAATGAACTTACGTCTGCAATTAGTCGATTCCCTCTGGAAGTATCTTGAATATGACACCTAGTGAGTGTAAATTCATCTGAGCTTTGGAGAGATTGTGAATATACTCATGAGCATTTGCGAGGAACGTGAGAAGTGAACCTGGGTGGTGAAGAGATCCTTCCAGAGTGCGGAGCGTTCCTCTTCGTTTTTCAGCGGAATAGCGTTGAAATTCAGTCCGACAGATAAGCGACAGCCTTCTGAGCGTTAACACGAACCTTTACGTTATCCCAAACTGATTCATACGTTCACGGGATGTTTCAATATAGGCGTCTGTCATTTTGATGTAACGAACAGCCGATCGTTGTAGTTTATGCTTTATGAAAAGTTTGGTGAAACGAGTTGGGAAACGGCCGAAAGGAATGCACTCTTGAAAGAATGCGGGGTATTTTCTCCACAGTGTTTTTACATCTCAAAGAAGGCAATCAAACCAACTTCCGCGTCGCAACTTCGAAATTCTAATCACTGATTACCCTTAATCCCATTCCTTAGGACTGTGGGAAGACATGGCTGAGGAGATGTTATGATCAGGTTCTACCCAGGGTGTCGAACTGAAGGTTGGGGCAATCATTTCTGGACAGCTTCCGGTAGGTTAGCAGTAGGCACATTTTATTTTTTTAAATCTATTTTAGGCATCATCGTCCCTTATTTAAATAAAGTATTACGCCTTTATATCAGGGGAGCGCCGGTCTTCGGTGTTGATGTCGGTGGCTACACTTGTGGCACGAATAACAATATTGCTGTTATACAGGAGAAAATGACGGAAACCACGACTACAAACTTGAAGGGTCTGTTTTTGTTCCTCTCTTCGGAAGTATTTCTATTTCCATGACTACACAGGCATCCTTTACAGTTTCAAACAAATACGGGTATTCATCCACTGAACGACGTAGCGTTGTTCCTAGTATACAGGCAGGCGTCCATGGCGAGAGTAAAAATCAACATCATACCGTGAAAGTAATGCAGGAGGAATACGAAGATTTTCTTCGAGGGTACGTGTAGAGTCATAATGGCCACCGACAGGGTTGGCAGCAGCCAGTACGGCAGCTCTGGCCGGGAGGTTGGCCACCAGACCACCCCGTGCGACGCTGATGGTCTGCTGCTCCATGGCTTCCAACAGAACGGCAGGATCACAGGCAAGCTTGTCGAATTCGTCAATGCAACAGCAGCCCTGAGGAGAACAAAATGGACGCAAATAAAACCCAGAAACAAACTACAGAGAGTGTCTCCGAAGGATTTAAAAATAACGAAGGGACTTAGTGAGACCAGTTGTACAGAGTTGTATTGGGAAGCAAAAAGGACGACGTCTACTCTTGTAGAGAAAAGCCATCGCGTAGACGAAAACGTTTCCCAAAACCCTTCTTCGAGTAACGAAAGCATAGTAAAAGGCTGGGGATAGATTTTGTAGCACAATTCGCCAGAGTGATTAACTACGATTTCTGTCAATGCATGTTAGGAGATTACTGGCACCCTAATCAAACGAACTGGAAGTTGTGATCCGACTGATAATATGGAACGGCTGGGTGGTCCTTTGGATTATCAGCGGTGTTCACTCGTTTGAACGCACCTAAAGCAGGCAACGGGGTAACGAGGTGTGGAAATCGCCAGCGGCTGGAAAAAAAATAGGAAGACCAGGGTTCGGATGTGGGCAACGATTTGGCCTGACAGCTGACTCTTTTGTGGCTTTTGGTATGCTCTACATTTGAATCAACTTGAAAGATGGTGGGAGAAATATTTACTCAACTGGTTCGTCTAATCTCGTATAAACAGTTTTTGTATTGGATAGGCTTACAAAACTCAGCAGATCAGTTTTTATACACTCTTCAAGAAACAATTACTTCGAAGCAGGATTTTGGATATTTCGGGGTTATGGGCAATTGAGAAAAGTATCTTACGATCCAGTAGCACTCCATGCGTTGCAAAGAAAATGTAATATGAAGTCAGACGATCACGACCGCTAGGTTAAAGTATTCAGTGATGATGGTCAGCCTGAGTCAACCCACGTACTGGGCCTTTGAGAGACAGCAGAATAGTATACCATATTTATCGGACCATACCAGTGATCTCATTTTGCATGATTGGAAATGCCGCAAGATATCACTATTACTCGACGTCACTGGTGTTCTTGTTAGTTTTACCCAGCCGTCTAAATGAGTGTCTGGAATAACTGTGATGAGCTAGCGTCAGGTCCCTTCCCGTAGGTGACGAAGTGATCTGATACACAATGAATTATGGATGTACGGCAGCGAAGCACCCGCGTTGAACACCGATGCGCTGTCGATAGTAATGATCACACTGACGCAGATATCGAGTTCAGGCTGAACCGCAATCCTGCGACCCCTGGTAGAAGAACTACAGTGCAGGGCTATCTGAAACAACTATACTTCAAAAGCACCCAAAGGCCCACAAAATATCGAAAAAGTGATTAGAAGAGAGATAAACGTTGGTAATAAGAAGACCAACATACATCACCTGTTTGAAGCACTGCTGACAATGGGTGAAGCTATAGGGAAGCAAAGTGGTATGTCTGTTCCTCCACAGGTTAACCGGCAGTGGTTCTGATGAGCTTCACTGCCAAAGGCTATGGACTAGAGGGTCGTCTGGGATCCATGGGACCAACTATTCATTACTTCAAGTTACAATAAGGTAGATGCACCGTGTCTATCGCCTTCCCAGCAAAATACGAGATTAAAGCTCCAAAACTAACCCACCCCTTCAAGGACGACGGTTACTTTGAATGTCGGATTTTATAGAAATGTTTGGTGTTGAAAGGTCATAGTAACTAAAAAACGTGTTTACCTGAGGAGTTATTACCACGTTTCAAGTACTATCAGGACTAATAGGATCTACAACTTACCAAAACTTGATCGATATCACGCTTGACCTCGGCATAGCCTCTCACGCAACTGCACATAACATGACATGGCGTTAATCAAAGGATACGAAGCAGAGACGAGCAGAGAAGACGATGAACAGAAGTACATACTAAGGAGAGGGCGGTGCCGTTGCATAGATCACTGAGGGGACACTTTGGGAACAAAAAAGTCTACGTAAGCAAACGCATACCATAAGAGGTATTACCTAATGCCCAGGGCTCACCAGCGTTAAGAAGTTCGCCCAGTGGACATTTGTGTATTTTAGTTGAGGGGGCTTTCCAGACGACTTCGAAGAGAAAGGACCGTGACGAATTTTTTCCAAAGTACTCAGCAATAATTATAAAAATCACCGAAAGAAGTGACTAAATGAATTACTGGTGACCCGTGCTTAGTTAATTATTGTGGTTGGTTGATGAGAAGACGGGAGGAGTATAGTTGACCAGTGAATGAATGCACCACTGGTACCACAAATTTTAGTTGGCTTACTTGGTCAGCTAAAACAAGGGCACCTGCTTCCAGGCCGAAACCTCCCCCGCTACCACTTCCCTCTCGAATAGTGCTGACAGTGAGACCTGCTGCAGTTGCCGTATTGCCACAAACATAGATGACGCGAGGAGCCAAACTTGCGGTGGCACGTAGCATTTGACTTTTGCCGAGACCAGGATCACCTAAACGGAGGAAGAAACATTGGGCGGTACAGGGCAACCTGGAAAAAGCGTATCGATTCGAAAGAAATATTGGGCGATGTATCGCTATAATGGATTTAATGGTTAACAAAGCCTCCTTTTGAATGTGTTGGTGAATCTTTTATCTATCAGAACATCCTACTATAACATAGCACAAGAGTGAGGCGTTTTGACCACGTTGTCGGGACTCTGCGAACAGTAATCCACTTTAAGTTGTTTCACTTGTGAAATAAAATGGTCCTTTCAGTAGAACATCTAGGTTGTTCACTGGATCAGTCACACATTTCTTCTCGTTGTGAAGAGACTGGAACGTAACGTGGTGGGGCGGTTTGCCTACACCAGATACAGAGGGCGATATGCATTCGACATCCACTGTCTCCTATCAATTTGGTCAGTGGATGGAGGTCTTACAATCACCTGGCCCGCCAGACTAAGGAATCGGAACAGGTGTAGCAACATGTGCTCTATGCAAACCACTGCTACTACATGGCCAAGCTTTTGAGCTAGAGGATCAGGTTGAGGGACTTGACCGTCCTTCAGTCTAGGTTTGGACGCCCTAACAGTACATGAGCCTACATGTAACCACGAATTGCACATCGAATCCACATCGACAGTCGTGTTCTGCCTCTTGAGCTAATACTTCCTTGATTAACTGGATACCTGTAAACAGTACTGGGCTTAGGTGCAGCGGACATCGTCATCCTACTACCGAATAACCGTGAAATTAAATTGATCATGTAGCCGTTGGCCGTTACAAGGCTGAATACTTGACCACCGATCTTCTGGAATACATATGCTGAAGTAAGTCATCGATCTGTCGGGCTAGGTGAACCTCTGTCAACGCCAAGGAGGGACTGAAAGTTTGTTCCAGACCTATATTCAGAAAAGGTGCAGGAGGCGAACATTCCAACAATTAGGTATCGCTAGAAGTTTCGATCTGCGTGTAAGACCACTCTAGGTTGAGGTGCACCGTACAGCTGTTTTATCCCTATGGCGCGAGATGATTCAGTTGTTAGAGCGAGAATTTACCAAACGGAAGGTCTGTGGTTAGAACCCGACATTATCCTAGCCCCCGTGTTTCCTTCGGGCGGCATCGCAGTTAGGCACCGAAAGGGTGTTGCAACATCCGCAGTGCGCACCTCACGAAATTCCACGGAGTTTCGGACCTGTGATTCCTCGGTTACCAGTTGAACATAACCACTCGGCCACGAGCGTCTGAGCAACAGTGTGATTAACATGCATAAGCCTTGCCTGCAAAAACACGACGCAGGGCATATATACCGTCGGTCAACAATTGAGGTTCACCTCAGCGTCAAAGGAGACCTTGACTGTATAGATGGGTCAGTTCCAAATACACTTGGCCAAATATTAATGTATCTGACATGTGTAAATATACATCGCGGTCTCTAGTCAAACTGAGTGCTGTGGGATCTTCGCGCCTTCCTAGCTGGTGTCCACCTGATCCTCCTTGAACGTGAATGTAAGCTCTACAGACCATGTCAGATAACCGGTCTCAGTGGAAGGCACGCTGTCGCTTCCCAGATGAACCGCCCAGCCAAAGTTCGTCTGTCGTTGTAAGGTGGGCTCATATCGAAATAGGCTCGCACAAAAGACGTTCGGTTGAGCCCAATGATGGCGTCTCACTTCGATATGATGCTCACATGCATTTATTTCGTCGCTGTTCCAAAGTGTGGGTGCCTTGTTCTTGTTTATTTTCCATACAAACATAAGGCTGCTTCGAATACTTCCCTACATTTCCATTTTGCGGTCTCTATCAAACTGAGTGCTGTGGGATCTTCGCGCCTTCCTAGCTGGTGTCCACCTGATCCTCCTTGAACGTGAATGTAAGCTCTACAGAACATGTCAGATAACCGGTCCCAGTGGAAGGCACGCTGTCGCTTCCCAGATGAACCGCCCAGCCAAAGTTCGTCTGTCGTTGTAAGGTGGGCTCATATCGAAATAGGCTCGCACAAAAGACGTTCGGTTGAGCCCAATGATGGCGTCTCACTTCGATATGATGCTCACATGCATTTATTTCGTCGCTGTTCCAAAGTGTGGGTGCCTTGTTCTTGTTTATTTTCCATACAAACATAAGGCTGCTTCGAATACTTCCCTACATTTCCATTTTCTTGTTCTAAGACGTTCTTTGTCATGGCAGTTAAGCACCAGTATTGCTGGTATATTCACGATCCACAAGTGGTGAATTGCTCTTACAAACTCCAAGGATTGTTAGAGATGAAGTGAAACAGTAGGCAGCCATATAGCTCGTTAGACAAGGCAAGCTAAAAACTCAAGAAACGACAGAAGGGGCTTCACATTCCCTAAAAAACAATCCCGAGGTGCATAAAACAAAAATCACAATACTATTTGACTGTGTTTAAGCATGAACAATTTTACAGGAGTCCTGTTAATCAGAGAGCACAAAGCTTTACAACCAAAGACCAGACAGTGATTGTGGGCCTTCTTTTAAGCTCAAGATCTCAAATTCAATGGAAAGCACACTGAAAAAATCAAGCGACCACCACCACAAACAAACTATAACCATCTTCACGGGAATCGGATGATCAGAGGCATGCTTCATTACAAATTTTGATAAAGATGATCCAAGGAAAAATAATGATTGACTTACCTTTGTCCTTTAGCCGGAGGAAACCAATAGAAAAACCATGGGAACTATGTTAACGGTTCACGATCACAGCATACGAGTGTTTGATACAAAATGTTTAAAGTTTAACGACTGAGTTATATTTTGATTAAACCGGCTGCAACTCAAATCCACTCAATACAGCGGAACGCCGTTAAAAAGATCAACACCACACCGAACTATTTTGAGGGTCCATTGAAAAAAACCTTCCGTGTAAAATGAATAAGGAACGATGATTGGGGGTGTTTGCCCATCATCCATAGTCATTCCACACCATTCTAACTTGGATCGACTCATTGGGGTACAAACAATTCAGTTAACAGTTCAAAGAACCAGAATAATTGGAACCGCGACAAATCTCTTAGTGTACGTAATCAGCGAAAAACGAGTCATGAGAAAGTGGAATATGATCCCATAGGGATAAAATACGAAAATGTTCTATTGTGTCAACTTATAAAACTTGGTGTATGGCGTGAGTTGAAACAACAAACGAATGAAACAGTTGAAGGTCAGTGAATACTTTATGCAGGAACATACGCAAAAAAGCGAGATTATAAAAAAAGTATGGGAATTTGGCAGAGGAAGATTTTCAAGTGAATTGTCCAAGTAGGCTCATGCCAAAGACGTCTAGCACACCGGAAAAAAGCTCTGTCGACTAAGCTACTGAGGCTAATTGCTACGCGCCACACTGGCGCATTTGAACCTCAAAAGTCATTCGCCAAACTTCTGCCTAATGGGCTATTCGCGATTGCAAGGCCAGATAAACCAAGAGATGGTGCACGTGGTAGTGTGGAAATTTGGCAGCCATGCAGGTCATTTGAAACGAAATAAATCTTACCAACAACCAGCACATGAGAAGCTGCTCGGCGTCTTGGGCCGAAATCATCTCCTGGATCGGAAACTTCGGGTGATACTTCCTCGTCTTCATCGGCCTCGCTGCTCGAGCTGGAGTCATCAGCCAAAGTGAAATCTCTATCAGCTTCGTGAGTGACACCCGACACAGTGTTTACATCGATCCGATAGGACACGCCTGCCTGGGTGGGCGAAGGACTGCGTATGCGCTGTTTTTCCTTAAGTCTACGACGTCTTCGGTTACGTGACTGAGTTCCACCAAATAAAGCGAGTAGCAGACCGGCCTTAACCAGGCCACGGCCACAAATGGTGGGACAGAGCGAGGCAACTAGTAGACGGAACAAATGAGGCTGTTCACTGATTTCCCGGATCGCGTACAGATCCTTGATAGAAAAGTCACTATCTGTGGGATAGTGAAAAGAGCACACAATTCAGTCAGGTAACGGGTATCATTACTTGAAAGGTTTCGGGTTCGAATGCATTACAAATATGAATTCACCTACAAATATCTTGGACGTCAAGCAACAAAAAAGTACTAACTTAGGATCGATGGGACAGAACGCTCGACGGGAAACTAGTTAATCTGACACTCATGCTAGTAAAGAGATCACATCATTACAACATAGCATTTTTCAGCTTAACTTCAAAGAGCATTTTCTTGAAAGCTGCCGGTATTGTGCTCCATAATGTCCAGATTTCGAAATTTTCACATATTATTAACCATACAGCACAACTACAGCATACCACTAGATAAAATCGGTAGTACATATAAAATAAACAATAATAGCTCAACTATGCACCTTTCGGGTGCCTAGCTGCCACGCTAACCGAAGGAATCCTGCGGACTGAGAGACTCTCAGGTTACCGAAGCTTACACAGAAGCAGCAGGGGTTCCGGGATTGGGTCAGTAAGTTTCCGCCGTAACGACTGAGCTACATCGAGCTCAGCGTATATATACCGATCAAAAATCAGCGAGCCCTGACAGTGCATTTGGATTCTAGTCATATTAAGCTGAATGATGCGGTAACTGACCCTCGCGGTGAGACGCCACCGATCCTCAAATACCCTCCACCCACAACTGCATATCCTAGCGCTGGTATCACCTGACTCCGGCAAAGTGAAAAAAAACTTTACCGATATTGCCGGTTGAGTAAAACGAACTGCTTAACTCGTCCAGAGGGACTTCCCGGTTTGAAACGCAGTGAGCTTCCTGAGATACACACTAGGATTGAAAAAAGTACAAAGTGCTATAGAAATTTTCAGTAACTTAACCTCAGGAATTCAACGCTGCAAACAAATTAGTCCGAGACGTTTCAGACATCATAATATGAGTGCTGAGGGCCAAATCACACACTAGTATGTCAATCCCAAAGGGACAGACATTGTTCCTGCGTGAAGTTGATGATGCGTAACATCTCCATGTTTCGATAAGCGTCCGACACCACACTAACCAACAAAATCGAGCCTTTCGTAGTTCGTTTTGTGCAGGAAATTGGTGTGGGAATGGGAAATTGAGAACAAGAGGCCTCGTTAAAGAATGCAAGAGAATAAAGTACAGTAGGATCGAATTGCTTTCGAGAGCAATTGTTAGACGCATTTCGTAAACCTGGAGTTGCTGAAAAAAGGTTTGCACTTGAAGCCGGGACTTGGAGTGACGAATCAGATGAGACGGTAGTAAGCCCCTGAACGACGGCATAAGCTACTTACTCGACTATACTTCAGCTTTCAAGGTGAAATTACTGATCTGGATGGGAGTTAATTGGGTTCACATGGCATTAAGATGAAAAGGCGTTTAAGGGCAGCGCCGAATCATTGATGTGTAACTTAGTTACCAAGATTGGAAATGATTTGTCCGGAAACCTTGTCCTCTCTGTCATCTAAATTTTCTGAGGAAGTGATAATAAGCAGGCCACGATTTCCGCCTGAAACACTTGCTGAAGCATCAGAACAATGAAGACTGGCTGCGCTTGCCGGACCACTGCCACTGACGCGCACCACACTGTTCACGTTCAGCACAAGGCTAAATACGTTACTCCCACGACGGCCACACCAGGAGGAAATACCGGGAGCGACACCATCCGCATTGAGTAGGCTCACAACTCCTGTCAAGTGGACAACATCGCCAGGAATACACGAGTCAGCCAAATCCCTGCTCAATCGGCAACTCAAGCAACGCGGACTACGGCCGAGGCTGGATACTGCCGTATTTTCCGTGTTCCCACGACCATCATCTGCTTCGTCTTCACATGCCTCTTGGATGGTAATCATCTGCAGTGGAGGAATACAAAGGAGGATAGCGACCGCTGCTTGCTCAGCGATGAACAGAAGTCTTCTAATCAAACAGGTCTATCACTTTCTTGTGTATTCCATACATTTGGCCCGCTAGTAGAGGGGCAGAAAGCCTGGAGCAAGCAGTCCAGAAATAAAATTCTACGGTTGAACACTTCTGAAGCCACTTAGGACGGATCGCTCGACAACCTCATTGACCTGATAGTTGAGTTGTTCGAGAAGATAGTCAGATAGGCACCTTATCGTAGATAGAATGACATACGGAGAATCAATCAACTAACAAGTTAGCCGTCAATCGGTAGAAATTTAGACGTCTTTTTCCAACGGTTTACCTGTGCTTCTTGTCTTAGCCGAATTGCGGAAAAGCTCTTAATGCCAAGACATCAGAATCTGGCACTATAGAACAAGGAACCGTGAGCAAGTTGACTGAGCGCCACACGCAAACTTTCAAGGTCCGCATTACCATTCATTGTCCAATGAAGGATTGCCGATAATATTTAGGGTGGATGAACAATCGACTGATGACTTCAAACACTTAGCATCCAGCTCGGTTGGAAAATTCAATACTGCCAGCCTTCTTTGGGTATTTAATAGCTTCTCACTACCCAATTTCAAAAAATCCTTGTTTACGAAAAGCAATAGACAGTGGATAGTCTAGGATATCGGTTCTTAGTATCTTCCTGAGAACGACTACGTTGAAAATGGTTAAAACCATTAGGGATAGAAAGCCCACAGAGCCAATCATAGCTGAATCATATTCCTCCATTTGGTTTTGTGATAAGAAATCCTAGCTCATTACTACTCACATAAATAAAAGCTCTTCATAACGAAATTGGAAATCCAGGAAAACGTTCGTCCCATTTGAGGTCTAGGTGAAAGACATGAGCGACCGAAGCTGCGTTCATGAATTTCCGACTGAACAAAAGCAGGGTTTCTTGACTGGGTTGAGAACATTGTTGTCCTAAGTGGAATCAAAGGCAGACAGCTGTAACTGGAACGAGAAACTCAACCAAATTGCATGTCCAGTGAGTTGTGTATCGGACGGGACAATTTATCCAACTGTCATCCGCTACCAGACTGGTGCTTTGAACAGAACGAACAATTGTGCGACCAGGCCAACTGTGACTCGCCGTTTTAATATAATCCCCTTTTTAACCTAGTACCGTCGTACAGTGACAACACCTGTATCAAAGGTGTGCTTGGGAGTGAGAGTATCGTAGGCCAAGCGCACCGCGTCCGTATTAGGCGATTTTATCGCATGAAGGGATAACCGGATGTCTTTTGACAAAAACACGAGTTGTGGTGTGCACTGCATGAGGAGTCTGCAGGTACACCGAATCTGGAAATTTCGAACAAATGGAAACTTGACATACGAAGACCGAAGCAGTATACTCGAGATGATACACGAAATCAGGGTCAGTTCACCCAACGATGAAACTAGATCAAAACCCACAGCGACCAAAACTGGGCCTCGACAGACGATTGGAAAGCGATGGAGAACGGTAAGGGCAGCGGGGCTGGAAGGAACCATCAGGGGAGATATTTTTGCCACTTGTAAGTGTTGAACGCAATCTCCTACCTGTACGGTATGACCCGTACCGTATGAAGTATTTTTGTGGAGATTTCGTCCTGTAAGTGAAGTCAATCTATGCTGAAAAGCCGAGAAGCACAGTGCGTATGCTGTAGAATTCACATGATCCCAGCTTCTTTTGTCTATCTCTCTGTCTATTAATGCCTGGAGACATAAACATGTTGCGCATCTAGTCCAGATGGTACTTCAAACTCTGACGTTTTAGACCCTTCACTTCAAGTTTCAACATACTTCATACGTTGGTAGTGTGAAGAGATTTGGGATCTTTGTGGAGATTTCGTCCTGTAAGTGAAGTCAATCTATGCTGAAAAGCCGAGAAGCACTGTGCTTCTCGGCTTTTCAGCATAGATTGACTTCACTTACAGGACGAAATCTCCACAAAGATCCCAAATCTCTTCACACTACCAACGTATGAAGTATGTTGAAACTTGAAGTGAAGGGTCTAAAACGTCAGAGTTTGAAGTACCATCTGGACTAGATGCGCAACATGTTTATGTCTCCAGGCATTAATAGACAGAGAGATAGACAAAAGAAGCTGGGATCATGTGAATTCTACAGCATACGGGAATCTGGTTATAAAATAAAATGCGAAGAAGGCATCCGCATCCGTCGGTAAGACAAGCTTTTAATACGATTCCGGAAACAACTGAAGTCTGCTGTATAGCCATGTGAAAGCGCCTGCTTCGAGAAAGAAAACTAAGATATGGCTTCTTCTGATTGCAATCCGATTCACGAAAACGTATTCATTCTCCTGGAGCCATAGGGACGACAATTGTCCTTGGCTATTACAGTGTGTAATGTTTCCGAATAAAATCTACTGTAGCGGGATCGGTCGTGTCACACCAGTTATCTAACACGGATGCAAATATGACAGTGGACTATCAGATGTGACGGCCTGCGAAACTGTTATCAATGACACAAAACAAACAATGCACAAAACAACGAGTTTCTGCTTGAGTTCATCAGACTTGGCTTGGTGTGTAATTAGAAAAAAGTGCACTGGAAGGCAGGGATAGTCGGAAGAGTTGCGACATGAACTGGAGCTGGAGAGTAGTTTGAGGCAACTAATGACAATATGAAATCTATCCAGCCCCATTATACTGGAAGGTATACTCCTCATTAAAGTTGGGCCGTGACATTACCATGATTCAGGCGAGTGGGGACGAGGAATTATTGTTAGTAATAATACAGATTATATTGTTTTTATAACTGTCTTACTAACGCTAATGCGCTGAAGCGTCTTCGCGGAAAGCGAACCAGGATGATGGGATGGTTTGGAAGTACCTGGCAAAAATCGGTATGAATTGGATAAGAGCGTTCGATGTCATCTTTGGCAAGAAACTGTACCAAAAACCCGCAGAAATACGTAATCCAACCTAAATTTTCATTTCGTAGATGAGGGACTGGATAAAATGTCAATTCCATAGCATTTTACCTCCGTGCACGGTTAGTGTTAACCAGATGATGGTTTCAACAACCAATCAATCATAGCTGAATAACATTATTCTCTAGGACGAAGTTGGTTGATGCTTACCTGAGTGTCAATGGTCATCGTGTCGCAATGATTTAGAAGCGGTTCAAAACTTCGCGACCGACATCCACGAGTGGAACACTTCGTGGGAATACAATACCGACCATCGGTAGGTAGGATCAGAATTTGCTTCGTCCCACATTGGGCACATTCGAAAGCCAAGCGATGACACACAGGGTCGACCTTGACAAATATTTGACATTAACAGACGGATTAATAGGGAAATGGGAACAGGATTTACAGAGTAAAACTAGAATATTATAACCAGCCCATTTTCAGGCCGATAAGACATTGTAGTCCGCATTCGCTGGCAATTTTTTCCCAGCAACTACAAAATAATTAGCTAATGAGGCCAGGTTACAAGGCACCGAACGCTGAACAAACAGACGGAGCAGAAACATGCAAACCACAAAGATATCTCGTCGAAATCCCCCTTATTTGTGTCATACGAGTTAGGATCGAATCAACACATATTCGGGTGGAAGTTCACTACACGATAATGCAAGGGTCAAGCACACACCGCTCAAAAGCGAACATGTTTTAATGCCCAGTCGTGATGATCTAAGTTTGCCCAGCGTTCGGTGGTGGGGCAGTGATAACAGGTGCCAGATCAGGTGATCGGACTTGGAGGTCATTCATGGTCAAGGATGCTAATGGGTTGGAGTACGGGTTCACTTCTTTATTCCTTCCGTGTGTGAGATATGGACACAGGCGATGTCTCTGCTTTTCCCCTGCTGAATATGAAGCTCAATTCTTATAGATATACGTAGGAAGTTTGGGGTCTGATCAAAAATCAGATGCCTGGGTATAATAATGGCAATAGTATCATAAAACAGGTGGCCACAAGGCCATCCCATAGCTGGGATGGGTTGTATGGGCAATTGAGCGCTGCATACGTAATTCAACACATATTTGATGCTAGTTGTATCGTTGTCCAAAATGTACTACATCCGGTCATAATACGGTACTATGGTCGAGTGGAGTAAAGAGAAGGATTAAACTGTAACTGGGTTGAAGAGCACAGCGATGACAAAAAGTTGGTTCGAGTGTGACGTGATGCAAGAATAAAGACATGAGCACCCAACCGAAACGATCCATTCCTGACAAATCGATTAATTCTAGTTACGCTATGGGACCTGACCTAGGTCACTCTTTTGTACCCTTATGCATGGCATGAAAACTTTTGAAAACAGAGGTTACGAGGTTTGGTGCCCCAAATCTTTGTAGGATAGGATCAGAATGACGTTTACTAAGTAGTCTGAGGGGACTTCATAATACAGTCATAATAATACATAATACATAATTCATAATAATTCATACATAATTCATAATACAGTAACCGAAACACGCCAGGGATATCCACACTGTTAGGTTCCACCCAAAAAGTACTACTGAATAGTTGGATTGATAGGCAGCCAAAGGTGCTCGGCACTGGGTTCCTTCCCTTCTCTCCCTTGTATTATATTACAACATGGCATGCTTCAAGTCCATTTCCATCGTCAACCAGCAGTGAAATGCTTATCACTGGTCCAGCCCACCACTGGCTGAATATGTCTTGCACATCCCTAGGGCTATTAAATGTTGAACGAAGACCAAAGTGCATAAGAGTACAACAAGCTCGGCATAGAGACACTTCCTCTCCAGTGATAATCGGGACAACTCCCTTAGGCGCTGACTTCCGAGGCTACCCAGTGACCAAGGCGTTGTGGCATCGGGATTCGAAGGTACTGTTATTAATAAAGGAACTGTAGGCGACCGCAGATTCTTACCTGTCCAACTCTGACAACAATGCCTTTGACGGAAATGAAGCGCCCCAAATGATGGGCGCGTAGTTTACGAAGGGATGTGAACGGTAGGTGATTGATGACCCGTCCAGCGATGTAAGAAGGCAATTGACGGTTCTCAACAGCGTCGTCAGAATCAGCTGCAAAGGAGATAAGAGTAGCCCAGTTGACGAACACCGTGTTAAATAATGAGCAGGTGGACTTCTCATCCAATATATTGAAGAAACATCGATAAGTTCCAGATTGCTGAACAGATTAGAATGGATCGAACTTTCTTGGGCGGTACACGGAACAATCTTAGGAGCTCCACTAACCTCTAGAATTTCTAGTAAACCAGTCGAAATACAATCAAGGTGGTGGTCCCACCTTGTGAGCTCAGTTGATGGAAAAACATTACACAGAGGAAACCAATGGAACTGCAGTCATGAATTCCATTGTCTCAACTAAAACCGATATACTGAACACTTAAGGGCTCTTCGGACGAACAAAATCGTGTGCCGCCGAAAAGGTCACTAATGGCTTTGTGCCTTATGGGGAGCAATTTCACTGTCACAACAGAGGACTAGGTAATTTAATGCATTTATATCGCGGCTTCGCTTCTAGTGGCCATTTTGAGGATTTCTGATTAGTCCATACACAACCACAGAAAACCAAAACACTAGCTACCGGGGAATTTACGTTTCATTTACACCGCAGCAGCCTTTCCTCATTATCTTATTATTTATTGGATCAGAAATAATGAAGCAATAGAGCAAATAGCAGTTGAAGTAACATAACCTATTGTTTAACAATTTGTGATCACTTTTCAACCTTACTTATTTTGATCGTAATCGCACCCAAACTAGTAAATCTGGACCCATCGTATGAACGTTGTTCACTTAAGCTAAGAAAATAAAAGCTGTTCAAGGAAAAAACTGAGGAGAAAGCGGCGTGATTTTTATAATAACTTATCTAAGAGGAACACATTGTTACATTTACCTGCCTGATATGCAGGAGTACCTCAACCCATAATGAATACCTACAATGCAAGCAAGCTGTATTTGGCCATAACCATAGCCAACATATTCAAGCAAGAAGTGGACCAAAATCCAATGAAGGAAACCTTAACTTTGTGACTGTCAATCATAAAACGGAGGTGCCTGAACAGAATTTTTTTATATTACGGTCTAGTAGCGTGGAGAACATCAGCCAAGCAGCTGCAGTTTACCGGTAACGTTAGGTCGGCGGAAGCAGTAGACGTACGAATCTAGTGCGGATAGAGATGTGCAGAGTAGACATCCAACGATATAAGAACTTCATGGCTTCTATTGTAAGTTTGTTGCTCCGTCGTTTGACTTGTAAGAGTCTCTTTTTTCATGTATTTTATTAGGCTTCAAGGATCACCAATCAGGTTTTCTTTTTTTTAAGTGTCGCACATTCCCAATGCAAATTACGTGCCACTGTTGCTAGCTAACATCCTATTATGCCTCGGTAAACTGCGCTATCAAACCCATGCCACCGAAAGCAAGGGTATTCATCTAGTAGGCAGAGAGAAAATATCGCTTTCAAACGATTCGAAACATCTACTCGACGACTATGCGAACATACATGCACAGTTTAGTTACGCCAGTGGTCGGCAGCTTTGTTTGACTTCAAAAGCTTTGTCTTTGTCTGAATTTTCACAATCAGCAGTGAAGTGACCAGAGCAATCAACCAATTCTTCAGCTGTAATAATAATTGAAGCAGTTTAGAGTAGTACGATTGGACTACGTCACCAAGCTGTTTGTCCAGGGGTGTTAAGGGGATCTAAACAAGACGTTCAGCTGTAGCACAGCTAACATACCACCCGTAGGAAGCTAGAGGGTTGATATACTGCCAAGGTGCCCAAGTCTAGAGAGGAATAGCCAAGATGCAGAAGGGTTTGAACCACAGACTTATCGGTCAATGAGTTCGCACTTCAACCACTGAGCTAACTCGAGCTCGGTCTGAACAAGTTGCAAGCAAGTAGTGTTATCGTAGTTATTCACTCACAACGTGCGAGTGTTCAAATAGCAATATTTCCAAGGGATGAGGAAAACACGATGCCGATTTTATAAGGATAACGAAGACGTACAGATATTTCATATTTTAGGTCAGAAAATGTTAGCAAAGAAAAGTACGTCAACTGTGACAGACATAAGCTTAGAAGGGATGCGGGTTGTTTCTTGCTCATCATTGTTTGGAGGAAGGACTCCCATTAGTAAAAACGTCAAACACTTACTTAGGGGTCTCTTACACGTGAGTGCTGTACTCGGGTTTACCCTACATTGTAAGGCAGAGCAGAGCTTCAAAAATTATGGTGATAAAATAGACCTTGGATAGTAACGGAAAACAAATCGTACTAAAACCCACTTATCCTTAAACGAGTAGCAATGGACTATGACGAAACGTTGAACACCATCTGTATTTACAAAAGTACCTTTGAAGAATGCGTTTTTCGTTTCTGTATTGTACACTGCATTGTAACATAAAGTGTGCACCGCCAGACCCAGCGACTGTAACACACAGTCACAGTGGTCAGTAGACAACGGCCCATCTTCAGAATCCTCTCCAAAAACCCGTTTTAGGTCAGGGAATTTCTGTTTGACGAGCGGTGATCGTAACAATGTGGGACAATCAATCAAAATCGCTTGCTGTGACTCGACTCGAAGCCAATCGACGGGTGTTCCATTGGATCGGTCAGCTGGCTGTGAGAATACTGAAGTGATTGTTGGATCGTACCCAGATTGTTTGAGGGTTTCAGTGAAGAAATCGATGAAAACCTGAGATTGAAAGTAAACGATGTTAGCTCACATAATTTTAGAACTTTTTCAACACGTTATAAAGTTCGACGGGATACAAGGTAATCACCCCAAAACTAGTACAGATTTCCCACCGTATGAGCTCAGACAAAAACTACCTACCCCAGGAAAGGCTTGATACCATTTTTCATGATGGTCTTATTGGTGCACTGGCCAATACAGAGGAAACGATGTAACTCTAGGATCCTGGAGTGTTATATAAAAACAAAACCAAGCGAGTCAATTTTATTCTGACAGAAATGCTGCAAATGTGCAAGATTTATGACAAGAAAGATGGGGTCAAGCGGTATTATTGAGGTCAGCATCACACCACGTGCAATCGGCTACGTTCACCAATACATCTTTAAAGGCATGTAGCGTGGGGAAGCTGGTGCTGATGATCACGATTGGTCGGTTAACTGCAAGGTTTTGGATCACCTTCATTTCGATGCTTATGACGCATGAAGAACCTCATCTTTGGCTTCAACTGATACCCTAGCAATTAATCGTGAAAACAAGCTGGCTTGATTTGCAAAATACGGTCATTTGAAAACTAAGGTTTTAACGGAAGACTGAACTGAAGCACAGCTGCGCTTATTTGATGAGCCCCAAGAATTGCGATCACTGTCTGTAGTCATACCAAACGTGGGACCAAATTCGCTATGGCGAGTCACTTTGTGACGAAACAGAAACGTGTTGAACGTGCAGAATGTGACATGGATCGTAGCTCAGTCTGGCCTGCCAATAATACTTCGGTTTTCGCTAAATACAAATACTGAGGTTCAAGTAAAAGCAATCACAAAGGAAAAATTACCCAACAAGCAAGAAGAAACGAAATGGTCACAAACTGATAAAGGAATCGTTACGCCATACCTTAGTAATTGGAGATAATCGAAAACATAGTAAGACTAACGGAATTCCGCGGTTCTGCTACAGCAGTTGTTGTGGCTTTGAGTGAATGATCCGCCGGCTTGGTTGAAGATAGCCAGTTATCATTTTATTATTCACAACATGAAGTGTCATCCTACTTACCTTTGTGAATATGGCCGCTTGTGAGGAAGGTTCATATACACGAGTTGGAAAATAAAGTAACCATCCAGGATAGGGACAGGTTGAGACGAAAGGTGAGATTGGTTGAGCTTTTGAGTGCAGGAATGGGCTGCTTGTGAAGTTTGTCCCTAGAGACTCGGGTTGGGATGACGTGGTACAGCGAGATGACGGCAGGAACTTAGGTCGTTTAATTTCGTTTTCGGAATTAGCGGATGGTCTCTTGGAGCTGAATTGTCTTCCCCGAAAACCACCACGGCGGAAAAATGGTCGCCGCGGACGATCCTAAAATTAAAGTGACAAATTATCACTATGACACCTGCACAGCTTCTCATATCAGGTTGGGAGTTGGGACCAGCACGGCGATCTGTTCCTTAAAAACATGAAGTATACCGGTACACACCCGATGCTCTGGGGTTAATTTGGATCGTCTTCCTGTCTACAGTATCTTAGCCCGCGTGCAGCAATAAACGCCACGACCAAAAATAGTACCAAGCGACATCGCCCGTGCATGGTATCGTCACTCGGGTCGCCTTACATGCTGCAGGCAGCAGGGCGGGTGCGAAAACAGGTTACTGCTAACGCCTCCTTACTCTCTTTACGCAATTCTTCCACCCCCCACCGTTAAATAACTCTTCTGGTTGGGACTGACGACTCTGTTCGTCTTGCACAGGTGTGGCCGCAATTTCTGCGCATCAGCCTCAGGCATCTCGAAATCAATTTCCAAGCGTCGACACCAAGTATATCTATTAACGTCCGCACTTTGAAGTAAAAAAAAACAAAAAGCTGCTTTTGTTCTCCAACTGGACTCGCTCAGGCATTAAATATTAGACGGAACAGTGGAACTGCTTGAATCTCAAGGAGACTGTCCTGCCGGTCCCGAGCATAAATTGTCCCGCTAAATTATCATCAAACTTCAAGTAAACGTTGGGGTGCGCACCGACCGTAAACCTCGGTAGGCACTGAGGGCTAAAAAAAAGAAGAGGCTAGGAAAGCCCGGAATGCCCGAAGACCTATTTTTTCCGTGCGACCGGCTTCCGAAAACCGCCTGAGTGAAACCATCAAGGATCACCGTGGTGCAACCATTTCCAATGGGGCGAGATGGCCCAAGTGGTTAGAGCGCGAATTTACTGACCGGAAGGTCCGTGGTTCGAATCCGACCTCCCCCACTCGACTTCCCCTGTCTAGGCTTGGGCAACCTGGCAGTATCCCAGCCCTCGTGCTTCCTTCGGGTGGCATGGCAGCTAGGCACCGGAAGGGTGCTACAGCTGAACGCTTAACCATTTCCAATAAAGAAAGCCTCAATAACTAGGCCAAGCACTTTGAACGACAATTCTTATGGCCACCTGCTGCTACTTAGCTGGATTCCGGAGCTGAAGTAAAACCCGGGACGTTGGATCTGGAATATCCTACGGCCTCGGAAGCTTAAAACTGCACATGCCCTACCAAGCGCGACTGAGCTCTAGTCCGGATGACCTTGCACCTGCATTGAAGTATATTGATGAAGTCCTCAGTTAGCGCCTGCCTGATCTATTCGCCCGCATCTGGGAAAAGGAGCTTGTCCCAGACAATTGTAGAGAATCGGTGGTGGTGGACATTTCCAAAAAACTAGTCGCACGAACATTATTGGTTTCACTTATCATTCATCGTGAAACACTGACTCGAGAGCAGCAAGCGGGGTTCCGGTCTGATGGGGATTGCGTTGACCTAATCCTCACACGCTGTCGGGCGATAGAACAACGCTTTCATTTATATGACCCACAAGTTTAGTATTCTTGGATTTCCAAGGTTCATTCGACTCAGCTGACCGATCTGTTCTACTTAACATGCTTGCCCAGCAGGAAATGTCCCAGAGGCTTGCGAACATAATATGTTCTTCGCAGTATCAGACTTCAGGCCGTTCGAGAGTATACCGAAAGCTCTCCAGTCTTGCACCTAATGTGCTGTCCTTCAAGGACGCCACTTCCGACCACGCCTATTTGGTTTTGTGGATAATGAGATAAACACAGGGATGTCTTTAAAACCCGGGTATTCAAGTAGCTTATTACAAATCATACCGATCTGGAATATGCAGACAAATGAGAGGAGGTGCAGGTGTTTTAAGATTATATGAGTAATCATCCCGTCATTTGGCATACACTTTGCACTCGCAAAGTGTTATATCATTCATCTGGACATGCAGTCACTTAACAAGCTATCTGTGATCCAAGGAGTGGAATTTGAAGTTTTGGAGCGTTTTGCTTATTTTGGAACTTGTGTTTTTTCTTACTGTACTTTTGCAGATGGGTTCAGTGCACGAATCCCGAAGGCTCGGGTCACATTTGTCCTTTTGAGACAAAGCGGAATGTCCCTCGATCTCTACGGGTGCGTATCAGGCTACGGTACGGGCGAGACTGGGGGATAGCTCAGTGGTTAGAGTGCGAATTTACCGACCGGAAGGTCCGTGGTTCAAACCCGACCTCTCCTGTTTAGGTTTGGGCGACATGGTAGTATCCCAGCCCTCGTGCCTCCTTTCGTTGGCATGGCAGCTAGGCACCGAAAAGATGCAACAACTGAACGATTATATTCATCCTTTTTACATTATGGGCTGTCTCATTGCGGCTGAGATATTGCCTCTCCGAGCAGCGGAACTTTAGATCTTCGACAACTTCTGTAGCAGAACCGTAGCTCATGCAGATTGGTGTTGGAGAATCAGCAACGAGGCAATTAGAAAATGAGAGTGAACGAACCATGGGCTTCCGGTCAGTATGTTCAAACCTTAACCGTTGAGCAATCTCGAGCTGTCTGCGATACAAGGCAGCCGACCTCATCCAAACAGTGGGTCTCTGGTAGGAAGGTGGATTTGCTGGGGGGCCGGGGATAGGTTCTTCCTGGTGGCACCCGCAACTCAACCCGGGGCATCATCCGTCGCCTGGTAGATCCGGTAGACCAACAAGCTTGGTGGGTCCGAAAGCCGAATAACTGGAAGTTGCAAAAGTACTGGAAACGTCCGCAGGTTGTTCCACTTGATTCATTCGACTAGTCCGCAGAAACTTGCCAGCGAAAGCCTCAGGGAACAAAATAGCTCCCCGATACCCAAAGAGGAGGACATTTCGATTGTTGGTCACAAATTACGCGAGAAACGATTAAGTTGTCAATCTGCTACCCCAACCTGGACTGCCGGCCTTCAACATGAAGGTGGGGGTACCCTTTAGTCTCAGAAGTGCCTCAGTGAATATCTCTACTCAAGCGTCACCGAGCTCCTGGTCCTGATGAGTTTTAGTCTGTTCTGATCGGGGATGGCGGTGAATTCCTGTCCAGCTGGGAGGAAAAGACCAACCTGAACAACCAGGGTGAGTCGATAATAGTACCCACCTTCGAAAAGATTACTCTCTGTGAAAGTAGTGTGACGCAATGTGACTCCCCTTGCAATAAGGTTTTTGGTGCCACTTCTCAAGACGGAACGCGAAAAATCGACCCGTGTCGATCAAGCAGATTTTCAGCCGGGAAGCGGTTCACACTCCCTAAGATGTGACGTTTTTTTTAAATATAATCCCCGGCGACTTATACGGTCTCTACATGGATGTGATGAGAGTACTCTCATCAACAACACGTTTTGTTGACACAAATCAGTGACACCCAAAGTGCCATTCAGCGACTATGTATGGCTATACAGTCGAAAATGAGATATTTATAGTGGAGGTCCAATTTGTATGGGATGAACTAACGAGAAATTGTTTACGGGGTTGTGGTAATAGCATCAACCGGGCTATACAGCGGCGAAGCATAATCGTCTAAAATGATGTTAGTGTATCTGATGATTCATACTACACCACTAAAAACATAATTTAGAGGCGCAGAAAAAAGGACAGCAACTAGATGCACCACGCGACAACTGCTGAGTAGGGCGGCATCTGGGGGCAAGCCGCCCTGGCGCCACACTGATTGTATGGGTTTGTCGCGGAGCCGGCTACGGACTGTATGGGGGAATGCACTGATTGGTGAGGGCTTGAGCCAATGAGCATCGAGGATTCCAGAGGATTGCTTCTCACTGCATCACAAGGGTTCTTCGGTTACCTTATGAAAAGCCCCAACGATATAAATTACTTTATAGCGAGGCTCTATATAGTGGGCTGTCGACGGATTTTCAGCAACCTTATGAGTAGTGAATTACAAAGCTATACTTTATAGTGATTTTCATTGTGGTTCTTCAAGCTGCCTTGCCTTTCATTGCACCATACAAGAATACACGAATTGGAATACTGATCGGATTGTTCATGCGAGAGAACGTAACAAAGGTACTGCTGTTGTTGTCGTTGTACCTTGTGGCGTCTAGTACCTTTATTTTACTTCCATAACAACACTACGTACTTCATCAATTGCATAATCGTTTTTGTTTAAATACGGAAAACTACAAAAACGCGCACTGGTACAATTTCATATGATACAAGCGTGGTCACGTGCTTAGACTCTCTCCTCTCATTTCGCTCGCGCTTGCAGCGGTCATTCGCGGGTCTCATGTACTAACTCTGGTACCAAAACATTTCAGACCATCTTCGGAATCTATTATAAGTGGGAACTGTTCAGAAGAAGACCTCTGAACCAACATAATTGGATTATTGTTTATTCGCTGACATGGGCCAACGACGAACTATTTTAAAGAGAACAATTGTTAGTGAGTCTGTCCCATCTGACCTCTTTATTTTTGTATAGACAACCAAGCGTAATTATTTTTATTTGTTTGCCACACACTCCTGGTAAACTAACTTATTGGGTAGCCAGACCACTATAAATTTGGTGAGCCCGAGTATTTCTAGATATTTTTTCGAAAACTTTTTCTTTCAAGTCGTCGTAATTTTTTTCTTTTGCCCGATAATTATGGAAGCACACTTTGATTCAGCGGATTTAGTCGAGAATGCAATTAGCATACGTTTGCCAGACTACAATCCACGCAACCCCAGGGTATGGTTTCACCAGGTTGAGGCCGTTTTTGCTACCCGACGCATCACTTCCCAAGTCACCCGGTTTTCCTATGTTGTTCAGCATCTTTCTTGTGATGTAGCGACAGAAGTTGAAGATCTGTTGGAAGATATTCCTCAGGAAAATCCGTATGACGCCCTTCGAGCGGCCGTCATAAGTAGGACAGGGAAATCAGAAAACAAGATGCTAGGGGATCTATTCACCACTGTCGAACTTGGGGACAGATCGCCAGCACAACTGCTTCGCCACATGCGCAGTCTCCTCTGCGGCCGTAAGCTAGCGGTAGAAGTCCTGGCCCGACTATGGTTCGACAAACTCCCTCCCTC